CACTAATGCCAAAGGTCGAAAGGGATTCCAGTGTGCAAGCGGGGACAGTCAATCTCTCCATGATTCATTCATTCGTTTTGACAGTAAATTGGTATTTGCGCCAGGCAGACAAACCTGCACCAATTTGCTCCTGAGCAATCTCGAAAGAGGAAGCCATCGACAGTACTGCTACCACTCAAGCTACTTCTCAGTTCCTCAGTATTTTTCACTTCCCCGTGTAGAATGAATACGGAAAAAATTCCGATTTTTAATTAAAATGCTCTTATTTCGTGGTTGGATGTACAATCGTAGGCAACAATTTGGATGCTGTTGTTCCTCGACACGTCCTCCAACCCGAATTGTGAAGCCCCAATTCAGCAAGTTCCCAGAGCAATCCAATAAAACCACTCATTGTCAGGGAATACGGCAATCGCGAGAACTGGCAAATTTGTTGTCGAAAACAATCCAATGCAAAAAAATGCAAAAGTGTCAAACGATGGCAATTTCCTTCATCTGTCAGGATTCGGTATTTGAAGCGAACTGGGGAACTGAATGGAACTAAAAAAGCGAATCCCGTAAAGTGTGCACAGATGAGGGTGGAGCGTCAGCCGATGCAGAAGAGATGAAACGTATAATTTAAAAGAGAGAGAGCGGTGGATCAAAGAAAGGATGTCCTCCAACATGTTATGACAATATTTTTTTTTTCATGAAACAATCCTCGAAAAGCCTTGAGATATCTGACACAACGAAATGCCGCAAAATGGGCATCGCACTCAAAAAAATACTTGGTTTAGTGCTGAAGGTTACATTGTTTCTTGCAATTACCTAAAAAATTTACATCTGCAGCACTGTGAAGTCCTGGAAGAGTCACCAAAAAACTCTTTAAAATCAACTGTGATGTGTACTTAAAGAAACGCATACATCCAATGATATCTCGACGCAACAGAACTTTTAGTGAAATTCAAAAAATACAGCACAGAAGGTAGTAAAACAGTTAAAAAAACTAGGCAAAAAATAAAATTCGGAATTAGCTAACAGCGTAAAAACCACGGGTGTTTCATGTCTTGAAGATTGAACATTGTCAGCTACATCAGTGACGAGAAGAAACGCAACAGTGATACAACAGCTGATCACAAAGTACCAAATTCATGGTTTTTTTATTCCTCTCATTTTGGGAAAACCGACTCTGGTCTGTTTTTTTTTCCTCGCGGAAATAAGCTTAACCACGGTTTGTTAAGAGAAGTCTAGATCTGCTGAGAAGTGCTGAAAGCAAGGAGAGAACTGAAAAACAACAAAATTCATGCAAATCAGTCCATTTTTGCTAAAAAATGAGCAACTGCTGTTCATCAAGACAATAACAGAGACAAGTTATGCATATTTTTTATCCTAAACAACAGTATAGGAACCAGATATGCTAAAAATCTGTACAGGAAGAAGTTACTTTTTTAGGCTGAATTTTTTTTTTTTTTTAGAACTCAGTCATCTCACTGAAAAAATTTTTATAATTTTTCTTTGGCCAGTTTATTGCAGATTTTAACTCAGTGCAGCTACCGCAACCTGTACAGATCGCCGCGGCATACAAAGATTTTGCAAAAAAGTCTTGAATAATTCAACTCCCGGATAATTCCTGGACACAGGACACCGACCTCACCTTAGAACACTAAAACTTCATACACACGATCACAAATACTTCAGCTTGAACCAAACCAAGCAAAATCAAATTTTTGCAATGCTAAATATAGTTCTGGATGAAAATTAAAGAAATGAGTGAACGATTATTAATAACCATTAACAAAACTTAATGAACAAATACCATGTGCTAAAGACCGTGTCCAGCAAATAACGATCAAACAAGAACAATAACAAAGGAGAGAATCTTTTCATCATCGAAACAAAACCAAAAAATTTCAATTTCATCATTTATTATCAGCCTCAATCGCGATGATTTATATAAAAAACAACAAACAATCGGTTTATCCCTAAAGTGAGAAAAAAAAAATTTACGAGAGGAAAGAAACGAGGGGAAGTATAACACTCAAAAGTTGCCGCAAGCCAGAGGAAGTGTTTGATGATTGTAAAACATTTCAAACCATTACAGGCCTATACTTCTATTTTGCTTATAAATAACTCTGAAATAAGTGGGTCACATTGAAAACCTCAGCAGATGGTGGTTACTGTTAGCAGCTGCTACCCTCAGAAGACTTCTGAGTGCCTCCGCCTTACAAATAGATACAATACAGAGGTTTTGAGTACAATTCCGCTTGAACTGATATGATTATTCGCTAAGTAGTAAAGCTGTTGCAAGGAATCGAAATTGGACACACTAGAAACTAACAGCACTAACCAAAACTGCCCAATATACAAGAAAATCGAACTCTCTGAGCGTCAAAAAAGTGTAAAGGTATTGAAATTAGCCACACAGTTCCCCAACTTCCACGTCGAACTGGAATATGATGCCCGTATCGTTTCAATAACCCTGTTCCTGTTGAATTTTTGAATAATGAAAAAACTAAAAGAAAACATAACTGTCAATAGCTGGAGGACCCGAGGCAGCTGTTAATTCATAATCTGATTCTCCACTGGAGCAAACAGTAACTTCCCAAAAAGTTGCTTCTGTGCTACCAATCCGCTTATATTTGCAACAAAAGAAGAGGAAAACACACAAAGCGCGGCCACAAAATCAGTGATATACGTGACCTTGCTGCAACAACTCCCTTTGCAGCTGGTTTTGGATATCAGCTAATTTCTTCTTCAGCACCGTGATGCCACTCAAAATGATGTTTTCTGCCTGAAACAAAAAATGATGACCAGATGCATGGGTCTGTAAACACAGCATCCCCTCCCCCACGGTGCCTTCTATTTTGGTTTTTTTTTTTTTTTTTTT